ATATATATATATATATATAAAGCGTTTGTATTAATTGTTACGTGCTAGCTAGACGATATTCAATAACGAATGGTTGGCACGTTGAAATTTTTTTAGGCACTCATATATGGTAGTTGTATTTTCATGTAATCTCATTAAAGGAAAATCAATCATACTCTAATTGTATTCATTAATAAATAAATAAAAAGGTTAATATAGTTTTGTTGATTTGTTGGAATGAAATTTATTTTTGTATCTTCTATGAAGGAGTGAAGACAACTAATTTCAAAATATCAACTAGCTAGATTGACACGTACTAGCTAGCTCGACTGGCTTTAACTAAGTCCTTCACTAAAATATTACTAAAAAGGAAATATAAAAAGCTTACAAAAAATTCAAGATACGTATCAAAAGAGCCTAAGAAAACAAATAAGGATGCTCCTAAGAGCAAACAAAAACAATTAAAAAGACTTCTGGCCAGGCATGTTCTTTTGAGCCAAATTAGCAACCCGAATTAAACACTAAAGCGGGTCGGTCAATAGTGACGTCTTACTTGCAATTCTATTTGTGTTTATATTCATTCCTTCTTTGGGGTTATAAAGGTGCTTAGTTAGCGTTTTTTCATCATGGAATTTTATCCTTAAAAGTTTTAAGGAAACACCTTATAATCTTGAGCTGTTTACTTTTATAGCAAAATTTAAATAGTAAAATTGAAATATCGCAAAATTTTCAAAATATTACATGCATAGAAAAAGTTAATATTATTAAAATAATGATTATGCAGTTATATAGTACAAAATTATTCTCGAAAAAAATATAGTGTAAAATGTAACATTATATCATAAGGAATAATCACACAAATAATTTCTGAGATTTATTTTCAATCTCACTTTAGTCTCTATCGTCCCACAGTTAGTCCATAATCTAGTAATTCGTTTCAATTTCAGTCCTTCCGTTAAGTAAGAGTTAAATATTTGACAGAATCTGTATAAATTAGGTACTAAAATTAGAAACATCTAAAATTTAGTGACTATATGAGAAAATTAACTTTTGTTTTTTGTATATTGATTTAGACCCTAAACTTTAAATGTTTCTAATTTTAATTTCTAATTTCAACAGATTTTAACAAATATTTAAGATCTAGTTAATAAAAAGACCGAAACTGAAACAGAATAATAGATTAAGAACTAACTATAAGACATTTTAAAATTAAAGACTAAAGCAGAATTGAGAATAAACCTCGAAAACCCTTTGTGTGGTTAACCTTTTATTTAGAGCTTTTAGTCATTTTGTTCTTTGGGTTTTAGTTTCTCCTTTAAGGTAGAGCGCAGTTATCCACGATGTCATGGCTTGGATGATGCTCTCTTTTTCCTTGTAACTATTTTTCCTTTATGAACTTTATCTTTGAATCTTTTAAGGAGATGCCTAGCTAATCTCTTCTAATTAGGATAGGTCCTTTTGAGTTCGTTTAGGGCTTATAGTTATCTTGTCCTAATTTGGCTTTAGATTTCTCCTTTGGAGTTATAAAGGTGCTGAGCCTTGTTAGAGTTTTTTCTCTTATAGAATTGTATTCACGGAGATCCCTAGTCTACTCATTAGGGTATAAATCCTTTTGAGTCAGTTTAGGGTTTTATTTAAGACCCGTTTAGTTCGTTAATTCGAGTTTTTAATGCGAGTTGAGATGTGACTTTATATGAGAGCTTTTTACTGTAACAAAAAAATTAATGTGACTGTTTGTGAGAGCTTTTTATTATAGTAAAACTCAAATCGGTGAAACAAACGGGACCTTATTTTGTTATTTGTGTTTAGATTTCTCCTTTTGAATCATTATAGAAGTAGAAATCTTTTATTCATTGCCTTAAGGCTTGTAGCATAATCTTTTTGTCCTACTTAGTGTTTTTCCTTTTATGAATTTTATATACGAAATTTATAAGGAGAAATCTCTAATTAGGGTAGATCCTTTCGCGTAAGCTTGTGATTTTAATTATGCTATTTTATTAGGGTTTAATGCTTGTCTTTTGAGGCTGTAATTTTATTTTAACTTTTGAAGTTTAAGGCCTTGTTCTTTGCATGACTCAAATCACAATTCAAGTTTTTTGCTACACTACGTATTTTCTCTCATAAAAACTTAAATAAGCATTTTTGCTACAGTTCTCTCACGTAGAAAACGTCCCCAAGTTGGTTTCTTTCATTTCGAGCAAAAGTCTTAGGCCTCGTTCAGTTCGTTGATTCAAGTTTTCAATTCAAGTTGAGATGTAACTTTATGTGAGAGTTTTTAACTATAGCAAAAAAGTTAGATGTGAATTTTTGTGAGAGCTTTTTACTGTAGCAAAATTAAAATTGAAAACTCGAATCGGTGAAATAAACGATGCCTTAATATGAGGCCGGATTGGATCTTTGAAGCTAGAGGTGGCTAACTTTGTTGAGAATATGCTCTAGATTCATTTTATGTTAGTTGTTCTCTCCAATTATTATTATTTTTTCAAAAATATTCAAGATAGATGATGATGCACCTATAGATAATCTTGGAGAGACAAGTATACCTGCGAGCTATAGATCCTAGCTACACAAGTGAATTGTATCCATATACTACTGCATTTGGTATTCAGTCTCAAAATCTTGTCAAGGAAAATGAAGAATCTCATAAACCCCAGTAAATCACCGGTGATGAGTGGATAAACATAACCTCTAGCTCATACAGAATATATATCTGTACTCTTAAGAGGCATTAATTTCAAAAAGAAAAAAAAAACCAAAAAAGTATTAGCTAGAATATTATTGATACAGGCGTTAATTCATGTTTTTCAACAACAAAAAAAGTAGTAATATAAAACACAATATCAAGCTGTGGACGAAAATGAACCTAAAGTAATTTTGAGAGCCATGAACTTAAAGTAATTTGAATATTACAATAATAGTAACAACAACAATCAGATAAATTGACGTCTATTCATCAATATCTCTTTGATTTGCAGGCTTAGTGTAGCAAGGAGATGGATTCTTTTAGTTTCTTTTAGGTCCTTAGAGTTTTATGAATTTCTTCCTTTTCTCCCATTAGTTAATAATGAAACGTCATTTTCCCAAACGTTGTTTTGATAGTATATCTTTAAGGTCCTTTCGCAAATGAAACCTTGAACGTTCATTCTTTCATTAGAGTTAGAGAACTTCAGGTTCCAGTGCACAAGATTATATATATTTTTATCAAATGCTTTATTTTTTAAAGAAATGTATTCGCTGATATAGTTAACGGACAGAATGAAAGAATGACTATAACAAAAATATGATTTTTTAGAAAATAATTAAAAAAGTAAGAACTAGGTTTTACTAGTGTTCGTTAAGGGAATGGTCTTTCCTATATTATGTGTATATGTGGGTTTGTGTATAGAGAGAAATCATATGTAAGATCTCTTAAACAAATAAAAAGCTTCGGCAAGAGGATAAAATAAAGAATAATGCTAGTGCGATAATCTCTTCTAAACACATGAGCTAACCACCATAACCAGCAAATTAATTCACGTTATCATACCAAATAAATAAGCTGCATTAATTTCAGAAAATGCTAAATGCCAAGTTCAAATTAAAATTCTAAAAAGAATCGTTTTAAAAAATAAATAAATAAATAAAGCTTTTAGAAACAACAAATAGATACGACCTCGTTCACTTTGCGAATTTGAGTTTTCAATTTGAGTTAAGGTGTAATATCTTCTAAGAATTTTTCACTGTAACAGAAAAAATTAAATGTGATATTTTCTAAAAAAAATTTATTGTAAAAACCTAAATATGAGACAGTAAAATAGAATAGAGAAAAGAGAGGCAATGAACTATTAAATAGGGATCAGAGTAAATAAATTAAATAGATGAGAGTCAAACAATATGCCATCTAATGTTTAAGAGCGCAGATTTCCATACCAGAATTTCGAGATGTGCACAGCCAAAGACCGCAAAAACCACTATTTGCACATCAGTTTTGATGCTGATCGAACTAACCGTAGCAGGCAACCGCCGCCAAAATCACTTCCAAAAGCCCCTTCCCCCATAAAGACAGAACCCAAAACCAAAAAAAAAATAAAAATCCGTTTTTAAGGAATCAATACAATACCCAATGAAAGAAGAAAACCCCAGAACCCGGAAAAAAATAATAATAATAATTCGGCATTAACCCTTGAGAGTGTCACATCAATACACCGCCAGAAGCAGCGGCGGAGGCGGTCTGAAGAGAGGACTGGAGCTGAAGCAAATGGTGGTAGCAGTCGGCGGCGGTGGGGCGCAACTCCGGATTCTGATCAAGGCACCGATTCTGCAGCTCCCGCAGCATCTTGGGCACTCCTCCAACCACCCCACAAGTCCGCACCAGATTCCCCATCCCCCAAACGTCCACCTTCACCCCATGCAACCCCCTCTCCATCTCCGGTGCGTGTGCCCCACGCGCCGCCGAGCTACTACTGTGCGGGTATATTTGCGGCGCTCCGACAGCCTCTTCGAAGCCGCACACGAACCACTCCGCCCCCATGATCTGATCCCCTCTCTCGGCCCTCCTCATCATCACTTTATCCCAGCTCAAATCCCTGTGCATGAACGACAAGTCGTGTAGAGCCACGAGCGCCTTCGTCACGTACTTGAGCGCCTCCACAAGCTGATCGCAGTTCGCCGGCTTGGTTTTGATCCCTCTCGGCTTGAACACAAGAGAGAGATCTTTCTCCGAAGATCGGTGGACGAACTCGGCGTGCGGGATTCGGTGGTCTAGAAAATCGTAGATTTCTTTCACTGCCGCCCACTTTCTCCTGTTGGGAAAGAATCTCGTTGCGGTGTTCGGTGTCATCTCCGTCACGTTTCCATTACCATTGTCGACTCTCTCGAAGTCACTGTAGATGAGAGTTTTGGAGTTGACGTTGATGAAGCATCGGTCCGCTAGTAATGGCAATAGACCCGCGATTCTGTAGCATGGGACTAGGGCTTTTAACCTATCCGATGGTGAGGACAAGTCTAGCGTCTGTAGATCGGTTCGGATTATGCGGTCCTGCGCGCGGCTCAGCGCGCAGAAAGTTACCAAAAAGCCAATCACGTAGTAACCTAATATGTATGGAACATCTCCATAGGTCCATAGAAGCTTTTCCACAATGGAATTTGACGGATCAATTTGCCCTTCCCTTAGTTGGTCGGTTTCCTCTCCTCTCCACAAACAAAAGTTCCTTACGAAGCCTGTCAAGTTCGGCCATTGATCTTGCAAAACTTCGGTTGATGATGTTGAAGTGGGTTTACGAATGGTGACCATCTCGACTGAGCAAAACTTTGAGACGATTCTGTTAATGCAATCGTCCCAAAGGCCAACGAATGATTCTCTACTTGTGGCGGTCGAAGAAGTGAGACTAGGAGTTGGCCTGATGATGGGGCTTAGTATATCGTATGTTATGGCTCTACAGTCTAGTAATTCGGTGGACATTGTGAAGAATAGATCTTTCCCTTGAGGCAAGTCTCGGTAAACGTCTTTGCGAAGCGGGATGCGAAGTTCCTCCGGCGGCGGTTCTTGTAAGTACCATGAGAGCTCGAATAGGCTTGGGATTGATGGTGGTGGAACTCTAAGACATCCTACGTAGTAATCGCTTGCATCCTGAAATTCCCATGGAGGAATTGCTGCACCAAACAAAAGATTAAAACAACATGCATTTACTTATGACTAGCTTACCCTAACAGGTGGAATTTGATGTACAATATGGATTATTACTTATATGATATATATTTATATATAACATGACATAAAATTAATTATGGGATGTCCAATATATAGAAGGGTTTAAAAATGTCGTGACATGGAATGTCGCAATCAAAATTATTGTTTGAAGTCCATATATGTGGAAACTTACATCTTATGGAGGCTTCCGTGAATGGAAGCTGCTGTTGAACTTTCTCTTGGAAGCCTGCAGTGAGATAAGAAGAGACTCCAAGATTTTGCAGACCAGCTAATCATAAACAAACATGTGATGAAAATAAAAAATGAAAAAAAAAAATGAAAATCTGTATACCAGGAGCAGCAGAGACTGAGAAAGGCTTTTTCCTGCCAAAGACTTTGACTTGCTGTCCGGAAACGAATCTGTCGACGGAGAATCCTCTAAGAGGGCCTTCTTCAAACCCTTCCAGGGTGCAAGCGACCATGGCGTCGTCAAAGTAAGTGAGTTCATCAGCGTTCAAGAAGCTCAACGACCCTCCTTGGAGCTTCACTCTTCCTCTATGGTGCTCGCCTTCTTCAGCCCACAAACTCACAGATTCTTCCCATGTCATTCGAACCTTACCGATCCGACGAAGCTCCTTTGAAGAAGATGACGATGGTGGTGATGGGCCCGCCATGTCTCCTGAGGACTCAAACCCCATTAAAGCCCCTCCTCTCCCGCTCCCACTTCCTCCATAGTAAAATGTTTCACCCCCACTTCCAATTATCAACTGCTTTGTCCTAGCTATATAAAGAAAAAAAAGAGATAATATAAATAAATATATAAATAAATATATTTATATATATGTATATATATGATTGGCATATTATTGGAGTATGTTTTATAATTGTTACCTGGGAGAGGGAATTGTTCGTCTTCCTTGAAAGGAGCGGGAGCTGGGAGGCTTGCTCTTATCCTAGAATCATCACCGGCGGCGACGAGAATTCCAGAGGCTGCTCTGCTCTGTGGGGTCCTCATTCGGGACCCCATGAACTGCGAAAGCTCCTCAAAAACTTCCTCATCAAACGAAGCAGGCAATCTATGAAGCTTCCTCTCATACGGCGAGAGCCGAAAATAGCTTTTCCCAACTTGCTCTCTCTCCCCTCCTCTCTCCCACTCATAAACCTTCCGAAACTCCCCCAACATGTTGTCCCACTTCGTCCCTGCGGTTTTCGCGTCTCTGTTAACCCCATGCCGTTGGAGAAACTCGGCCACTTCTTTATCCTTATCGGCTCTAGTTTTGCCCTTGGTTAGGGCGGCGCCACCATGTTCTGTGGGCTCCGCCACTCTCGAAGACGTTCCGGACCCATTAGACCCACCGCCGCTTTGGTACTGAACCCGCCAAGCCCTGGCTAGCCACAGCATCTCGTTAGGTTTCCACACCGGGCTCACGTACTTTCCCTTCCTGAATTGCTGGTGAACCTGGTTTTCCCCCTCCGGTTTGCTCGTGTCTTGGCCGGACGGCAAGGAGTGGGAAGGAGACGACGCCGTATCGGAGGAGGAAGCGGCGGCGCTGTGGAGCGCTCGGGGTTGGGATATATTCGCAGGGACTATGCTTGAGGCTGGAGGGTAGGCGGTTGGCGATGGGCTTGACTCGGAGGTCAAAACCGTCATTTGGGTCTGAACCACTTTCTGCTGAGAAGAAGGAGACGGTAGAAGCTTCCATTGGCCGGTTGCGGAGGTGTATCTTGGTCTCTTAGGGTTGGTCACCGCTTGATCGAATTGCTGATGATCAAACGGTGAAGAGGAAGTTGCACCGCCGGGGATGAACAAAGGAGCTGATATTAGTCTGGTTTGATCTGTTGACTCTTCCAATATTGGATCTTTGGGAGAAGATATTGAGATTTGTTGTTGTTGCTGTTGCTGTTGTTGTTGTTGTTGTTGCGGCTGAGGATTTTGCTGCTGTTGTTGTTGTTGTTGTTGTTGTTGTGATGGTTGTGATGGTTTTGATTGTTGCGGCTTCTTTGTTGTTTCTCCCTTGTTGTCACCACCCATCTTGTAAATGGGCCCAAAACTTAAAGAAAGCAGGAGAAACCAAACCGAAAAAGGAAAAGAAACTTTGCCTGAGAGAAGACTTTCGCAAAGAACTAGAACGAGATCATCGATAACGAGCTGCTTGCTCCATTAGTGTAGAACCAAACGAGTTTTTTTTTTTTTTTGTTTTGTTTTTAATTTCTGGTTCAGTTTATACACACACAGATAGATAAATATTATATATATTATTATTGCGATGTCTCACAATAAGGCCTCGGGGGGGTTAAGTACTTGGAGTGCTGCGCTGTTATCTCCGAAAGGGAAAGTCGCAAAGAGAGAGTATAGGGATCATAGCCCAAGCTAAAGCGCAAACAACTAAACATACAAAAGAAGCAAACAGGGAGGGGAAAAAAAAAAAAAAAAAGGAAATTATTATTAGAGAAAAAATGTAAAAAATAAAAAATAAAAAGTTGTGGGATGTGGAACTGGCATTGAATATGACCCTTCGGTCAATTAATAATATATTAATTAATACAACCATCACATTATGTTATTCTTTATCTGTCATTTTGACAACTATGTGTATGAGTGTGTGTAAGAGGATGGTATGCGCAATGTGGCATGATTAGTGTGGGTCATGATAGTACTACGACTGAGAAGCGCGGCTCTTTAAATACAACATTGTTTTGTTAAAACTCAACACCATTTTATTAAAACTTTTGGTGTTTTTTTTTTGTTGTTGTAATTTCTGAATGGAGAGAGAGATTAAAAAGAGTTGAATTGATTAGAATTATGATATTAAAATTATTTTAATTTATGTGTATTTTTTATGAGAGAAAATATTACAGTGAATTATGAATCATGATTCAAATTATAGTATGAATTTCTTTACTAAACGTCTCCTAAGGTCTGTTTAGTTCGTTCATTCGAGTTTTTAATTTAAATTGAGATGTAATTTTATGTGAAAACTTTTTACTGTAATAAAAAAATTTAACGTGATTATTTTTTAAAAAAATTTACGATAATAAAATTTAAATTAGTGAAATAAATAGAATAATATATATAAATTTTTTGTGTGTAAATTTTTCTTGGGATTTCCCGCTCTTGCAGTGAGGAAGTGAGTGGAGAGTGGAGACTGAGAGTGTGTTTGTGTGTGAGAGAGAGAGAGAGAAGTGTGTTTGGTTTCGCAGAACGATGGGGACTTGTCGAATCGATGACTCTGCTCCAATGACTCGTATGACTCTTTGGCCACGTCCTGGTTGGCTTATTCTTGTTTGTTGCTTTCACTCACTTTTCTTTTATAATATCTCTCTCTCTCTCTACTTTTTTTTTTTTCATTATACATGAAGATGCTCATTTAAACAACTCCCTTACTTTTCGAGTACAGATTCTCCTGCCTCTTTAATCATACGCGTCCTTTTATTAATTGAACGACATTAGTGTTAAAAGTAACATCTACCCACAAATAATGTTACTGTTAAAAGGTTGGTACTAATTTTCTTTTCTATTTCTTTCTCTTTTTTTGCCCCTTAAGATGGGCTATGGAAGTACTTTTAAGCGGACGTTTGTTTGTTTAAATTGAATCATAGTTCTTAATTATTTATATTGTTTTTTTTATAAAAAATTTAAGGCTTGTTTTTTTTAACGAAAAACTCAAAAAAAAGTAACACGAGTTACAATTTTATTCGAGTTTATGTTCTTTTAAGTTTAAACTCGAGTTCAAGTTTCCCTTTCAACTCGAGTTCAGAAACTCGAACTCAAATTAATGAACAGTATTTTTTTTATTCTTAAAAATGCTATAACTTTTTCGTTTTAATTCTAATTGAGATGATTTTTTTTCTATGCGCTGACAACGAAAAGACGAATAAAATCTGACCCATATATCCTATTAAAATTTTTCATCAGCATTGAGTTTTTATTAAAATACTATATAAATACAAATTCAAGTTTTGATTCACTCAAACACAACTCAAAAAGATTTTTATCTCAAACCATAACTCAAATGTACACAACCAAATACAAACTCCAGTTACAAGTTCAACTCAAGTTATAACTCAAATTCAACTCAAGAATTATACTCAAGTTAAACTCTAAAAGAACAAACCCTTAAATTTTAAAAATCAGAATCATAAATTATTGTATTGAATCTATAAATCAAACATCATTTAAATAGTTTTTGGTCATGTTTGGAGTTAGTTTTGTTTTTATTTTTCATATTTTTTTGAGAAAAAAAAAAATAAAAACGAGAGAGAAACGATGTTTGGCATAATTAAAGACAAAAAACAGAAATGAAAATAATTTTTTAATTTAGTGTAAACTGAGAGAGAGAAAAAATGACTTTTAGTCATTTTTCATTTTTTGTTTCTATTTTCTCATCTTTCGAGCAGAGAGAGAGAGAGATAGAGACATTAATGGATTTTTTATATTGAAAATAATCTCTTAATAAAACTACTAAATGTATTTTTAAAAATGATTTCTGTCTGAAATTAAAAATATTTTTATTTTTATTTTCATATAAAAAATAAAATTATTTTAAAATGAGTTCTAAACGCACCATTTTTTTTTTTTTTTTGCTTGGTTTATCGTTTTGGATTTTTTCTTTTTCCTTTTTTTCGCGTGTGGAATAAATTGATGTATTTCTGGGATAATGTATTTCTGAATACAGGGACAGAGGCACTTGAAGAATAGGAGAGAGCTTGATCCCCCCTCAACTTCTTATTATTTTTTTTAATCTATATATGTTTTGTTTAAAATTATATTAAAATCCCCATAAAAATATTTTGAAAACTTGATCAGTGATATTTGGTTTATGGATTAGAATGATTAGATTATAACTATTTTTGATTGGGAGAAAGAGAGAAATAGGCCAAGACTTGAGATAAATTAAAATTAATAGGCCAATAGTTTACATAAGTTAAAAAATATGTCAAATTACTGTTTTCGTCCATAACTTGTCTGGTTATGAACCATAACTTGACAAGTTATTCTCAGTTTTTATCAATAACTTGTCTGACTATGAACCATAACTTGACAAATTTGTCCATAACTTATCTGGTTATGAACCATAACTTGACAAGTTATGGCCTATTAATTTGTATAACTAAAAGTTGGCCTATATATTTTCTTAAGCTTTTCATATTGGCCTATTTCCTACTATTTCCTTTTTTGATTTATGTGTATTTTTTGTGAGAGAAAATACTGTAACAAATTATGAACTATGATTCAAATCATGGTATGAATTCTCTTACCAAACGGAGCAGCCTCCCCACAATTTTTTTCCCCAACAAGTCCTATTTATCTATTGCATCAAATTACATACTAAAAACTCATTGAAAAACATCATTTTATACGAAAGTCCAAGTAGAACTCTTTACATTCTTATAAAAAAAAAAAAAAATCCTAAAACTGAATGCTCTTCAAAACCAAAATAGCCCAACTATTTAAAAAATTTTAGGTAGTTATTAGCCTCTTGACGAAAATTTCTGACTTCATTAGTGTCATAATATTTGTCTAGTTAAGGTCTCAAAGAGTTGAAAGAGGATCATTAGGTATAATGATAATGTTGAGCATAAATATTGCACGAATACTCCTATTACTGCATGTGCAATAGTACAAGTGCGTTTGATTTAGGAATTGGCAAAGTACAAATTTCTTAGCACTATGCAATGGTACTGCACGATAGTATTTCAAATTTTTTATCGAACTTTGAACACCATTTAACTTGACATTAATTCTTTCTTAACTAAATTATAGTAATTTTTTTAGTAGATTAAGGCCTCGTTCTTTTTGCTGATTCGAGTTTAGAATTCGAGTTTTACTACAGTAAAAAGCTCTCAGAAACAGTCACATATAACTTTTTTACTACAGTAAAAAGCTTTCACATAACATCACATCTCAACTCAAATTAACGAACTGAACGGACCTAAGTTTCCATCAAAGATGTGAATATAGTACCATTTTTACATGATAAACCCTGGACGAATTTTCAATGTGCTTGGAAAAACCATTGATAATTTATGTTTTTAGATACTCACACAACAATTCTTATTCATTGATCAACGTATCATGTCTATATAATCAGAAACAAAATTTTCGAATTTTGAAATAAAAATTAAAGCAGTAGATCTTTTAATCCCTCGTATTGAGGGTCTGGAGTAGATAAGAAGTAAACTGGGCGTTCTATTTTTAATGTGCAGTGAGTGTTTTTTCACAGAGCAGAAATAAATAAAGAAATGCCAAATAAATTATTGATTATCATAACGTAAAAAATAAGTGAGAACATTAAATTGTTTCCTATATTTTATTTACGTGCAATTTTATTTTATTTTTCTATTTTATAATTTGTAGGTATTCAAAAGCTTTGGGGCTAATGGTGATGAGTTATTTAGAACTCGTTTATTTCACCGATTCGAGTTTTTAATTCTAAGTTTTTACAGTAAAAAGTTCTCAAAAAATGTCACATCTAACTCTTTTTGCTACAATAAAAAACTCTCAAAAAATATCACATCACAGCTCGAATTAAAAATTTAAATTCACGAAGTAAACGAGACCGGTCCACATGGATTCTCTCACCTGTGATAGGCAGTTCTCTTTTTTTTTCTTTTTTTTTTATTTTAAATTGTCCAATCAAAATTTTTTCCCTTCGATCTTATAATAATAATTTCATCAACGGAAAAATTACTGCTAGATTTGTTTGTATGTGGATAGATACCGTTGAAGCTTTAATTACAGGATGTAGTTTGGTCCCAGAATTAAGGAAGTTTCATCCTCTAATAAACAAAAAGTAATGCATAGGAGGGTTTATTTTCTCTAGGACTCTGCAGAGCAAGTGCGCCTGAGACCCGGAGCATAAAACTCTGTACAAAAATCGTTGTGAGGATTCATGTTCAGATTATCGCCTCAATATCACATTCGGATAGGACCACCACTATGAATGTTTCTTTACTTTTAACACTTAAGGAAAATTTTTTCCCCTTTAGGCTGGGATTGGCATCATTAGAACTTTCTTTTGAAAATTGGGA